ATGGACTTGGAGAGGGTGTTACGAGTGGGCACTCGGTTAGTGCAGGGTCTACGGGGACAGACGTATCCTGAACGCTTGCTCAGTTTGGGTATGTACTCCATTCACTACCGAAGGATAAGAAGGGGACCTGATTCTCACTTATCGTATTTTGACGGGTAAGATTGGCCCGGACTTGTCAGGGTTACGTTACCTAATCTCCGTTGGATTCCGGTGAACAGCCGTTTATGTGCAGCCCGTTTGACTACATCAGCTAAGGTGAATTCGCGAAGTAAAACAAAACGCTGTTTGTTTGTGATTTCTGCTTATGCTCCCACGGACTGCAGTTCAAATGCAGTCAAGGACACTTTCTATCACGAACTGAACACGCTGCTACGCAGTGCTACTAGTTCAGATATTGTAGTACTTGCAGGGGATATGAACGCACAAGTAGGGCGTCTGAGCTCTTCAGAAGCTCAGCTGGGTGGTAAGTATGGACTTAACTCCGAACGGACTGACAACGGCGAGCGTCTGCTGCAACTGTGTGCGGAGCACCAGTTGTTTCTTACTAGCACTGCTTTTAGACACAGTGGGCGCCGAAGTGCCACTTGGCGTCCACCTGTAGCTGGTCAGCGATGGACCCAAATTGACCACATAGCCATAAGTTACAGGTGGCGCGGTTCCATTCTGGATTGCCGCTCATACTGGAGTACCTGTGTCGACTCTGACCATGCCTTGGTGCGCTGTCGTTTCTCCATGAACTTTACCGGAAGGCGCACAAAGCGTCTCCCCCGATTGGCAACGGAGAAATTGTCCCAGCCCTCGGTCAGGCAAGCCTATCAAGAAGCACTGCATAGCGAACTCTCGCTGTCTTGTCCTAATGACACTGAACTTCAGTGGAATAGGATCTCGGCCGCTATGCACGACGCAGGAGCATCTGCTTGTGGCACTATCAGTCGTCATCGCACCAGTCACTGGATATCCGAGAGGTCCGTGAACCTTTTGGAAGCTAGAAGGCACCTCCCGGCTGGTTCTGAACACAATGTGACCAGACGGGCTATTAGGCGTGAACTAAAGCGGAGCCTACGTGCTGACAAGGAAGCCTGGTGGACCAGTCGGGCTCAAGAAATGGAGGAGGCAGGAGCAGTAGGCAATTACCGGAAGCTCTTCCAGCTAATCCGCACCACTGGTCCGAGGAAACCAGGCGTCAGTGAGACAATCAGGGACAGCGCGGGTGCGCTGATACACAATAATGAGCGCCGTATGGCTCGTTGGGCTGAGCACTTTGAACATCAGTTCAGCTGGCCCCCTGCTCCCGGACCTCTTCCTACTCAGGTGATGCAGGACGAGCCATGGACGGTTAGTTTAGAGCCTCCGTCGGAGGCCGAGGTCCGAAACGCGATCACAGCCCTCAATCGTTTTCGTGCCGCTGGCCCGGATTCCCTACCACCTGCACTATTTAAGGATGGAGGTGAGGTCCTCTGCAAAGCACTTACCTCCCTATTCGAACGTATCTGGAACGAAGAGAGTGTGCCGGCTAATTGGAGCGAATCGATTATAGTGGCAATATACAAAAAGGGCAGTCGCACAGACTGTGCGAACCACAGGGGTATTAGCCTAACGCCAGTTGTGACAAAATTACTGGCCTCGATTATCGTTCGTCGTCTCACTGCAGAACGGGAATCTCGGATTAGAGAAGAGCAGGCCGGTTTTCGCCCAGGACGTGGCTGTATAGACCATATATTTACTTTGCGGCAGGTGCTAGAGCAGCGCCACGCATACCGCAGACCGACAATAGCTGTGTTCCTCGATTTCAAGAGTGCGTTCGATTCAGTCGATCGATCGATTCTGTTCGAAATACTTGCGCGAAAAGGTGTTCCCACGAAATATGTGAACATCCTTCGTGCTCTATACTCGAACACTAGAGGCCGCGTCAGGGTCTATGGTGCCCTATCGGATAGCTTTTCGACTACAAGTGGCGTTCGACAGGGTTGTCCGATTTCCCCATTTTTGTTCAATTTCGTCGTGGATTCTATCATGGAGTGTTCCCTTGCGGAATCTCACGATGTAGGTGTTGAAGTGCTGCCTGGTGAACGGTTAGTTGATCTAGATTATGCGGACGATATCGTCTTGCTTTTCGACAATGTTGAGGCGGCACAATCAACCCTGAATAGTCTATCCAGAGTGGTCCCATTATTTGGTATGCACTTCGCACCTTCAAAGTGCAAAGTGTTGCTGCAGGACCACCAGCCACTCGATGACCCCTTGACGCTTGCTAACGAGGAACTCGAGATGGTTGATCAATTCAATTATCTTGGCAGCTGCATCAGCAATGATGGGCGCATAGAAACTGACGTGAGCTCACGCATTGCAAAGGCCAGAGCTGCCTTCTTGAACCTGCGTCATCTTTGGCGACAGAAGGGAGTTTCCCTCCGTCTGAAAGGCCGTGTATACAAGGCCACAGTGAGGGCCGTTCTGCTTTATGGTAGTGAGACTTGGCCCCTTCGGTCTGAAGATCTGAGGCGCCTTCAAGTCTTTGATCATCGTTGTTTGCGAAGCATTGCTGGTGTCGGATGGCACCAGCGTGTCCGCAACGATGATGTGCGTAGGCGAGTACTAGGTGGTGATGATCATGCTAGCTCGCTAGAACAACAGATAGCACTGAATAAGTTACGTTGGCTCGGGCACGTGCTACGCATGCCTGGTCACCGCTTACCTAGGAGGGCCTTGTTCAGTCTACCAGGTGTCGGATGGCGCAAGGCTCGAGGTGGACAGAAGTTGACTTGGCAGCGGGAAATGAAGTCACTGACGACCAAACTGGGTGCCGTTGGTCCGTCTCGCCTTCCGGGTTGGAGCCCACGTGACTCACCTTGTGCTTGGCTCGAGACTTTACAGGACATGGCTCGCAACCGACACCAGTGGCGCGTCTGCTGCCGTCTCCTAATTGGATTGTCTGTTTAAAGTGTGTTTGGTGCTGAGTTATCTGCAGGGTAATGGCTGATTATGACGCGTGGCAGTGAAAGCCGCAAGGAAGCTGTCTCGCCGATGCCGCCTTATCTTTGCACGATAGCCAGCTGTTTGTGACGGAATGTTGTTAACACAAGGTGTAGGCGCCTTGACCCTGAATGTTTGCTTAGGGCATTAAGGTTTTCAGGTAAGTCCCCCTCCTCTCCCTCTTCTTATTCTTTATTTCATAGGTCCTCATGGTTGTATGGCAGCGAAGCATCAGTTCAAATGGCTGATGTACTGCTGTTGATGATGATGATGATGATGAATCTCCGCGGTCATCCACTGAAACTGCATAAACCACGGTCTGATAGGATTAGGACGGAAACTCGTCTGTCGCGCCGAGTTATAGATCGCTGGAATTCGCTTCCAGATCACTTGGCCAGGGAATCTACGGTTAAGGGTTTTGCGCGCCAGCTCGATGCTCCTAGGTGGCAACAGCAAACTTTTCCTTTTTCCTACCTGACTCACCTTCACTTTTCAGTTCTTTTTTAATGACTCAAATATCTTAGTATTCCATTTGCTTAGCTCTTTCCACTTTCTCTTTTGTCTTCTGCGTTTACTTTTTTCTCTTACTTCACGTAACCGGCCCAGCAGGGACTGCTAGGGCAGGATACGTGGGCATTAATTGGTTGGACAGGGTGTGATGCGGTCTTTGTTTTAGGTCCATCAGTATTTCAAAGTTCGCCAACTCCTGGTTCAACGACCCGCCGAAGAAGGAACACTCACGGGATCATCCTATCGTTCCAGTCTCACTTGAACTTGAACTCCATGAGTCTGCAACAACACTAGTCTGCAAGCAACACTACTTCGGCTATCACTGTTTCCTATAGCCGCTGACGTACTTCATTAAACAGTTGACACCTTCACGCCGGACTGCCACTTCTGAGCCCTCAGTTTACTCCAACGTAATTTGAAGCTTCCATTGCCTTGGACCCGCTTGATTCATCACATTTTCATCCACACCTAAATCTGGCGTATCTACCCCCACGGGTAAACGAAGCCTTGTCCCATCTGCTTCCTAATCAGATCTTTTGACACACGCCTTGCCTAGTGAGCCCACGACTGAGACATACGCAGCCGTGGTGCGGGAAACTCTCACCTTCCAAATTGGTCGGAGTCAAACTATGTGTAATGTTCAGGCGAAGTCAAACCAAAGTAAACTGTTTCTGAGTCCCAACTGAAATCTATTCTCGACAAAGTCAACAAGCTGGAAAAGTTGATCAAAGGCATTGCGTCACCACAGCCGCAAATATCTGGCCGCGCTTCACCACTCTCTCGTGAACGATGTCTTGTCATTGTGAACACGCCAGAATCCACCAAAGACACATCTGCAGAAAGAATGATGCATGAGCAAGGGTTCCTTGGGCGAATGATTTCCATGTTCTTCGATGAAGGTGAATTGGGTATAAACATTATTTCTGCCTTCCGCCTGGGCAGGAAGCAAGAGGATCCTAATAAGGTACGCCCCCTCAAGATCGTATGCCAAAGCGAATAGGAATGTCGACGCATCCTCCGGCGAACCCCACGTTTGAAAGGTGAGTCTTTACGTCCTGAGAAATCTTTCTCCGGAAGATCGTATTAAAATGAAAACAGCCGTTGATGAGCTCCGATCCCGCCGAGCAAATGGTGAGAGACCTCCACATCGTGGATTTTCGCGTAATCCGGAGAACCCGTTTGAGGCCAATCCTCCTCAACCCAGGACAGTAGAGCATGAGAACGGGTTGCGTGTAATTTTTGCCAATGTACGCAGTCTGAGAGATAAACTTGATGAGGTACAGATGCTTGCGTCAGATGCTCGCCCAGACTTGATGGCCTTCACCGAAACTTGGCTTTTTGCGGACATCATAGATTCACAGGTTTCTATCCCCGGATACCATCTCTGTCTGCTACTCAGTTTAACTTCTTTTGCTTTCTTACACTATCAACGTTCTGCCTGATTTGGTGTGCCTCGATGAATTCGAGAAAAAATTATTTATATTCTGTTTTAGCTACCGAAGTAATATTTGTATACTACTATGGAATCTTGCGATATAAGCCTCAAGGAAGTGAGTTCCTCGCTTCCTTCTGATAAGGCGCTTGATCGTTTGAACAACTGTTCTAACACCGGAATACGCACATGTAATGGTCTGGTTGAGCCAGCTAATTACCACACTGATACCGGAAGATTCCGGGAGGGAAATGAGTTCCAGACTGTCACGGTTAGCTCCGGGCATGGATGTGTTCATAAAGTACGTCTCTACCTATTGGGATTATTCTACAGATTGTTCATCGAATTGGAGAGCGTTTGAGGCCTTTGATGCCCATTCCAACACCGGCTCGTGATTACCCGTTTAAACTAGATCCTTTCCAAGAACAAGCGATTCTCTGCATCGAAAATGAACGCTCCGTTCTAGTCTCCGCCCACACATCAGCTGGTAAAACTGTTGTTGCCGAGTGAGTGCTATCCTGTCTTTCAGCCTCTGTTCTCACAGATACGCGGTGGCTCGGAGCCTACGTGCAAATCGCCGTGTGATCTATACGACACCCATCAAGGCATTGAGCAATCAGAAGTTCAAAGAATTTGCGGATGAGTTTACAGATGTTGGGCTAATGACTGGTGACGTGACAGTTAATCCGGAAGCCACGGTTTTGGTCATGACCACGGAAGTTCTGCGATTAATGCTCTACCGGTGCGTCCGACCTCACCAAGATTTCATTCTATATTTCTCAAAGAATCAAGTTTTTTGCAACCCATATCTTCCACTTATCCGGGTCATCGTCATCTCGAAAACATTATTTTTTCAGCTTCAGTTCGAATTCTGGCTTTAAGAGACTATAGAATAGCATTATCGTGTCATCTATCGCAGCTTCGTGGTAGCTTTGTGGCAATCTCGCTTTGTTCTATCTGATTATGCTACCATTTATTATGGTTGTGGCTGTAACACTGCAGTGTGCACCATAGGATGGACATCGTTCTGAGTTTGTTTTTCCACTAGACATCATGTATCGTTTTTGTCTATGATCGTGATGTGGGCATGACACTAATGCGACTAGCACTCTTTCAGACATGCCGGTGATAAGTGGCCCGGTTCCTGTTTACCTGGCAGACGCGTCATATTGCCAACCCGAGATCGTGGAACAGCCATTGACTGATCGCTCAGTAACTGTGCAAACGTGCCGTTGGTAATTAGCTCATCTCTCGGACATGTGCTACTAGTCTGCGACCCCTGAACAGCTTTTGACGGTCGCACGGAAACTGTTCGAACATGCAATACCGTGAGGCACGATGTTTTGCTGAATTCGTCATCTGTGCTAGGCTATATATAGCGCACTTATTTCTTATGAAAATAAGTTTTTACTCAAAATGCAGACGGACTTTCGCATTTTGCTACACCGCACGACAATTGATACCTGTCGTTAATGTGACATGTTTGTCTTTGAAGATGTACGATGACTATATGTACCCCATAGAGCTATAACGTTTTTAGTGGGGTCAGTTCACATTCGTGATTAAAGGATTGTAAATGTTTACTGCTTGAATCAATACACCCGTTGAAGTGCGCAAACTTGACGGCTCTCCTTGAGTCGGACCCAGTCTACGTACAACTTTCTGTATCAGTGGTTCTTAACCTGGGGGTAATTACTCCCCAAAGGGGTAAAATGGAATTTTACGAGGGTTAAATTTAAATACGAGAATTAGCTTATCAATTAGTCGCCTGACAAAATCAATAGCTAACTCATGTATCTAAACGTGAAAATAACCACATAATCACTACTGATTAGCCATCATTAGTGATTAGGCAATCTTCGGTACGGAATTTATTATCCAAAATATGAATAATAGTCTGCAAATCAGTGCAGCTAAATGGCGGGTCTCTCGGCTCGCTCGTTGATTATCTTTATTTAGGATAAGGCAGTCGTTCGCCGGATCGAATTACAGAGTTGAGTGAACACTTCTCGGTGTATGCATGTCAACTGATCAGGTAGAGGAGCAACATTTCCCGCCAAGTTCGGTGACGATTATCCATTATGGGGAAAAACCTTTAGAATACTCATCCCATTCACCACAACTTATAGGTGGGAAAATGGATTTTCGACAATGCTGACAGTGAGCACAAATGCGAAGAACTGATTTACCTTCCATATTTGGTGGAGGTATCTAATGGAATTAGCTAAGTTTGCCCTTGAATGTTTGACAGTATCTATAAGTTGCCTCGCCACAAATGAGGAGATGAATGCGATCGGTGGCTACGCTTCGGATCACCTGAAATCTACTTGCGACGGATGTTATTCAAATGCATGTTATCCGCGGTAGTTCTGTGACTGCAATTGTCTTAAAATGTCTTAAATTGCAAGGTGTCTCATTCGACTCATCTTATTTTTGTTTGCATCGGTTCCTGTATTTTTACTTGGCCCATATCTTGCATGTAAAATTTACTTATGTTCCACAGCGGGTTTGATATCACTCGAAAAGTCGGTTGGGTGATCTTTGATGAAGTCCACTACCTTCGAGACAAAGAACGTGGTGTAGTATGGGAAGAAACTATAATCTTACTTCCAGATAACGTCGGCCTTGTGTTTCTTAGCGCCACTATCCCCAACGCCATACAGTTCGCTGAGTGGATCGTCTCCTTACATCATCGCCCTTGTCATGTAGTGAACACTGATATTCGACCTGTTCCGTTGGAGCATTATGTGTTTCCCTGCGGTGGAGATGGCATTCACCTCGTCGTCAACCAGAAGGTTAGTATGTAGTCATCTCAATAACCTTCATTACGTTTCACAACGTTTATATGTCAGCGTTCTTTTTTAGATCTTCAAGTGCACAGTTGCATTGTTTTTTTTGTTAGATCACTACCCTATACCAATACCAGCGGCCGTACCCTGAAAGTATATTCATTGTGAAGTTAGAATCAAGCATCACGCTTGTTATTCATTTGCTGTTGTAGTGTGTTGTTCTCAGCCTAGTGCTGTAGCGTTGGCGGGGTACGCTGATAATTCCCATGCTTTTGGTTCGGCTCCCACTGGAGTTGTTTCTACCCGAAATGTGCAAGCTGACACGAGACTTGTCATAGATTGCAGCATTTAACACCTGACTATCCGCTGCAGCTATGATCCTTTTGACCGAACTGACCAACGTACATTGCTGTCCGAGCTAGGATTATTTCTCAATCTATCCACACAAGTCGATATTAGGATACTTTTATCTACATAGCTGGTTTCGTCGCCTTTTATCCCATTTGCTTGTACTACACCTAGGGATTACTCAGTTCGTTTTCATGCTACATTGTATCCTTGTTCATCTGTTCCCCGTCAGCACGAGCGTCCCTCTTACTCTATGGCTGTATGGTTTCAAAGCACTGGTAAAAGTATTGAATTGTTTTTATTGATGTTATTGTTTTTGTTGTTGTCCGTGTTGGTGATGTTGATGGTCATTCTAGTGCTGTTACTGCTCCTGTTGTTGCTAATGGTGGCGATTGCTGCGATTAATTCCTAATTTTTATAGACCATTTCTGTCCCCATCTTTCCAGTGCGAATTCCTTGAAGCCAACTTCAACGCAGCATTGAATGTTTTACGCACATGCACTTCGAAATCCGCGACTAACTCCAAGATGCTTGGACGCCGCCCCGGCTACATGTGTAGGTTATCCAAGCTGTTCTACTTTTCCATGTGGCTAGCTCCAACTATAGTTTCCTACTGCTGCCTAAGCTATTACTGAGCCAATTGACCTTCACTACGGACGACTCGCCATCTGCCATGAGCCCTTTTCAGTATGCTTTGGAGATATCGCCCTATTGACTGCACAATTAGTCTCTTGGATAAAGCGCACAGTGCTTTTCTTATACAGCTGGGTACGCTGGATTTCTCATCTTTGGAGTTGAAATTCACCAGGAGCTCAACCTGTGCTGTGTGCGATTTTTGGTACTTGTCTACGTATTTGAGCTGCACGCTAGATTCATCACAAGCTAATCATTTTACATCCTGTGATAGCTTAGTGAGATCCTTGAACCATCTGGTATTTTCTGAGCAAAGCTGCCTCGAGACTGTAGGACACGCGCCTTTATTTCCATATTAACGGCGCACGCGGCGAGGGGTGACGCATGCAAGCAACAATGGGTGTGTTCATGTTCTGCATCCTCTGGATGTAGAATGCATCTTTGGCTGCTACCGTCGTTACTCAGTTATCATTTCGGCCCTGCAGTACACTGCACTTCCGCCAGAAAGCGCCAAAATTATGACTGAAGTAGTAACGTTTTTTGCTGTTGAGAACGCTTACATTTGTAGGTCAAACATACGCCTCTGTTCTTTGATCTAAAAGTCTGGTGGTATTCCGCTTACTAATTGACTAACGGGGTACAGTGCTCTACTCACTCAGCCAACCGTGGCTTAACACCATATCGGCCCACTGCTACACCGCGAAGCCGTGCGTAGCCTTTAGCTCGGTGTGGTCAGCGCACCTACACAGATATCCGGTCTGCGTGCCACATTATCTGAGCAAATCATGTTTCTTTATTGGTCGTACGACATGGGATTAAGGTGCCGTATGCGTAGTTGTAACCGGATTCTCTGAGTGAGATCTATACGAATGCGTGCCCACTCCTTTTAGCACTCTCAGCATAGCGTATAGTGCTCTGTAATTCAATATGTGTTGGACCACAAGTGTATGCTCTATTGTCTATCGGTTTTCTCACACGAGCTGGTTCGTGAGTGTTGTTAGGCATAATATGACTCTTTTTGGCGACACAGTAGCCGGGACCATGTCCGTCCGTTATTGGTGACTCGGCCGGCGTGCCTCTGCTGCATGTCTTTTTCTTTTCTTTTGTATTGCGGTACAATAGCTGAGGTGTATGCTACCTGCAGCTAATGTGTCCAATGATGATGATGAGCATCAGTATCTTAGCGCGCTACTACTTTGGACGATACGCATTTCCCCAATAAGAAGGAATCGTCTCATTTCAATACTTTGCTTTTATTTTTCTTTGTCCCTTTCATCAATCAGGTACTCAGCCTTACTGTGCCGATTTGGTGAAAATTCTAATGAACCAAAACCTGGGTCCCCTGATCATATTCTCGTTCAGCAGAGATGAATGTGAGAATTTATTCACCAGCATGAACGGATTTAACCTTAACACAGGTCAGTGCTGCGTCACTTTTGCTGCTCTGCCTCTTGTTATTTTGCAGTATATCGGATCCCGCATGCCGTTTTTCCATCTAGCGAAACGTGACTCACGAGACAACTCTTAATGTGCATCAACTGAGTATTCAACAATACAAGGATGTTCTTTGCAACGAAACTGCGCAATTAACATACCGAAGCGTCTCACTACTTTCGCTCACCTCCATGACGCTTGTCACAAACTCTTCCATTCTAATTTGTTTCAATCCGACTCTGCTTTGCTTACTATGGCTACGCTTCCGAAGTGCATCGCTTCGCTTCAGAAGCCTTGTGTGCCTTTCACGACAGCATTTGCCCCCGAATGTGATATCTGGACGAATTCGGGAAGACGTGCAGTGCATCACCGTTTTCATGATCGAGGATATCCATCGTCAGGACGGGGCCTTTAAATCGGCCGTTGCCATTTCACTGGAACACCGTTTTTACTTTATCTGCCGCGGATTCTACAGTCTTCACCGAATATTATTGACATTTTCTTCGATCATTAACGCTGTACTGCGATGATTTTTAAAACATGATTTGAGACGCTGCGCGTCTTACGCGTAAATTTACCAAAGGCGCTTTTGTAAATTAAAGTGCCATCGTCCCGATTGACAAACTGGGACCCGACACTAACTTCAACAGTAAGCAAATACCAATGATTCACTTTTTAAACGGAAGTTATTACATGTATCTACAGTACCGTATTTGGGTGACAACTCTGCATTCGATGCCAATTTTTCCATCGAGAAATTTGCATTTTTAAATTTTCCATTTAAATCCATCTGCGGTGGTTATTGTAAAATGCTGAAAATGCACCCTTTCGGGTACCTAAAGCTTATCTTTATTGACTTGAGTTAACTTGACATCATCAGCATCAGTGCATCAGCCATTCGAACTGATGCTTCGCTACCGTAAAACCATGGTGATCTAACGTAACGAAGATGAATACCAGGGAGAGAACAGGGATCTAGTACAAAACCTTTGCGCCTAAAGCAAACATTCAGAGTCAGGGCGATTACACTTTGTCACTTCACAAACAGCTGGCTATCATGCAAAGAGAAGGCGTCTTCAGCGAGGCAGCTACCCTGCGGCTTTCTCTGCCCCCCCCCGTCATAACTGAACATCAGCTGATACTCAAGATACTGTACTACTGCGACAAAAGTCGACCTGGGACGGAACCATATCGAAGCGTCTCTCTACCCCACGGCCGCAAGTCCACTGATGCTCTACTTGTGGTTGACAGTCACCCCATTAGCATACGCATCAGTTGATTTCCTTTATGACGCTATTCTCCGTCGTAGCCACACATGAGCTTGACACCGATATGCTGATTAGCGGATTGCGCACCTGGAGTTATTCGCTACCTGACTAAGGTTACTAAACGCAAACGTTTGTTAATTGTGATTTCGTCGCAACAAATTCCAAGTCATCTAGTTGTCCACATACGTTACTTCACCGTCAGTCCACACAGTCGACAGGAAATCTTTTAACATAGCTCGTCGGTTAGTGCGCTTGGATAGTTGCATCACATCTGATTGCCACAGCACACAAAATGTTGTCACGAAGCTCCATGTGTCTCATCAAGGGCTTCATCACTTGCACATTTGATAGTCGGTTAACAAATGAACTTTTCTAACTGGCTTATTTCACATCCTATAGTATGAACCGAAAATACGATTGCTGTACTTCTCTTTGGCCATTTGCATCTTGAAAGCATCACTAATGTCTAATTGTCGAGCGTGCAAATGACACCATGTTTTCACTAGCTTGTAGTCTTTTGTTATGGATATGCCTTCCTGTTCACCGGCATTCAAACGGTTTTTCTGATTTGAAAGGCTCTTCGCTACTTATCCCCTTCCAAGGTTTGTTTGGCAACTCGCACTGTTTCTTGCCGGTACCTTGTTTTCATTCCCATCTGTGGCGTCCTCAAGACCGATCTACTGAGCCTTTCCTATTGATTGCTTGCATCTGCTGGCGTGTGTCAGTAATCCGCTCACCCATTCATCAATTGGCCTAAGCTAGAATACTGCATCGATGCGTTGTACAACATGGTGGTTAGAATACAGTTTTGCCTTCCGTTTGCCTGACGTACTTTGCTTTACGATACTTCGGCTAAGAGCCAACCACTGAGCGTTAGTTCCGCAATTGCTAAACTGTAACATCTGGCGACGAACGTTAAACTTTGGATTATTTACTATGAGCCCTATTACCCCACCTGATCCCTTTTGAAAGGACACGTCCTCCAAGCCATCCTTAGCAGTTTTGAATCGTTAGAAACGAACCTTCTGTGACTACCTTTAGCTTTTCACAGTTACACACCCCTACATCAAACTTAGTGAAACCCAATCTACCAAACTACTGAGGCAACATCTCAGTGCAGAAGGATAACTGCATTTCGATGCGTTATTTTTGTACGAAAGCACATCCTTGACGGACTGCTTTAACGCCCTGGATGGCCTTTGGTGGCTGAGGCAACATCTTTTTACGTCGCGCCTGTTTTTCTCAAGTACGATGGGGAGCTGAGTGTTAATGAATTCATCAGTCGTATATAACAGTCCCTTCCTGATTGCCGTTACAATGAAATTCCCGCAACCAAATTCGAGGAGACGATGGCGGTCAATACCTTTTACTTGGCATTCGAGACGATTAAGCTAGAGAACGTCTGCTGCCAGAAGACGCTAATAAACTCACTTGGGAAACAGCCTGCGCACTAATTGGAGGGCCATTTTGGATATCACGTTGTGTGTGCAGTGTTTTCAGGCTGGCAACACCTAATTTCCATCAACCTGCGCACTGGTCAGACAAAGGGAAAGCGTCATTGAACAATTAATTCATTATCTAAACGATTCTCCTTCAGATACCATCCATGCAATTAAATGTCGACTATTACCCACCAACAAATGTTTCTTTGCGTGCTACAGATGCGTCGAGAAGCATGAAAAGGTTACTGGTTGTAGACACAGTCTACTAGTCACAAGTGCGGAAAGGTCGGACATGTTGCACGTGTATGCCGTTCGACTGTGCTTCAACGACCGATACCCCGCCATGCCAAGGGTATTGTACGAATTTTGGAAAACGCTGACGATTCTATATTCTAATTTTGCACGCAATGGGATACCGCCGGACACTCTTGATTTAGACTTCGAAGACCAGCCAGTACGTCTGGAGATCAATACCTAGGTCCCGGTTACATTGATCAACAAATGAACTTTGCCCGATCTGGTTCTGACTCCGACTCAATCTAACGTACAATCATACACTGGGGAGATACTCGATGTTTTGTGCGTGTGTGTGACATGAAAGTAAACCATGGGGACAATATGCTGACTCTTCCTCTGATCGCTGTTAACACAGACGGACCGAACCTACTTGGGATAAACTGGTTAAATTACATGCCGAAACTATTACAATATCTCAAGAAACTGGATAATATTACTGACTTACCTCAACTCTTGAAAGTTTTTGCCAGTTTTTTCGATACAAAGATACCTGGATATGAAGTCTGCCTTTCGCCATCCGTCCGAAGGTAGATTTAGAGCGCTTACAAAAAGACGGACCAATTTCACCCTTACGCCACTCTTCCTGGGCTTCACTCATTATTCCTGTACAGAAGCCTGATGGCTCAGTTCCGATTTGCGGCGACTATAAACTGACAGTTAATCAAGCGATGACGACTGAACATTATCCGATTCCACGGATAGATGAACTTTACGCATCTTTATCGGGTGGATAAAAGTTCGAATTTTGATCTAAACCATGCTTATTCTCAAGTAAAGCTACACGAATCCTCAAAGAAAATTATTACCATTAATACACACATGTGATTATTTTGCTATAACCGCTTACCATTCGGGATACACTCTGCGCCGACAAGCTTTCAGAGGATTATAGACGAATTAGTGCAAGGCATACCAGGGGTTTGCTCTTGAACGACAATTCGGTTACTGGTCGTACGGACTACGAACATATGACAGCACTTGCAACAGTCTTGAAACGCCTACAGCAGAGCTGACTGAAACTCAAGGAATCTAAGTGTCTATTTTGTGATACCGTTGAATGTCTGTGGTTTCGTTTGGACGAACACGGTTACATCCCCTAAGGGAAAAAATTCAACCCATTCTGGATTCCACAACACCCCGAAATATTAATGAGCTGCAATCATTTCTTGGGATGGTAACCCATTACCTTCATTTTTTACCCGATTCGGCTAGTCTTCTCGCACCATTGTATACTTTGATTCGTAAGAATACCAGGTGACTATGGTCAAATGAACAACAAAAATCTTACGATGCTATCAGATTGGCTATCAGTAACCCTAACTTGTTAGTGCAGTTTATCCCAAAGAAACCGATCACTCTTCGTTGCGATGCGTCACACACATGGCTCGGGGCCGTAATATCACACCAAATGGAAGACATGACCTAGCGACCCATAGCTTTTGCGTCCAGCGGAAAAGAACTGCATGCATCTCGACAGGAAAGATTTAGCGATCATCTTCGGAATCAAAAAATGCCACCGTTATCTGTGGGAAATAAAATGTGAAATCCTTACTGACCACCTGCCTCTTTTGACCCTGATTGGTGAGAAAAAAAAGGCATAGACCAGATGACGTTACCTCGTACGTAACATTGGGTTTTGTTGCTCTCCGCCTACAAGTACAAAAACGCCGATGTTCCTGGGAAAGCAAATAGCTTCCCGTAAAATCCCCTACCAATTTGCGTACTTAAAACTGCGGTGGTTGTCTATCTGCTGCAACATTTGGACGGAAACCCGGTGTCAAATGCAGATATCCGTCAGCAAACTGAACGGGATATATTACTAACCAAAGTCAAGCGTCTATTCTCTCAAGGATGACCTGACAGCTGTGAACCGCAACTAATGCCCTAATTTATCCCGCGCACAGAGCTTACCCTCGAGGATTGGTGTCCGATATGGGGATCTAAAGCGACCATACCATCACGGTGGCGAAGTAAAAT